AATGGAACCAATTATGAAACTTGGTCTAGAGCTACAACCATTCATCTCAACAGCAAATATACGTTGGGTTTTGTGAATGGAAAAAAACCAGCCTCAAAACCTAATGATTCTACTTATGGAGAGTGGGAGTTTAACGAGAACCTTGTCAAGTCGTGGCTTATAAACTCAATGGAAGCACGACTTGGTGAAGAGATGTATTTTCCGCCTACTGATGAAGATTTATGGAAGTCTCTGAAAAAGATTTATTGAGAAAAAAATAGTGCAGCCATGATTTTTCAACTCAAGCAAGATATATGTCAATTTAAACAACAAGAAAAACCATTCAGTGAGTACATTGGAATGGTTGGAGGCATGTGGGATGAGTTGTCCCAATACACTCCAATAACGGGAGATATAAATAGCAGAATAAGAGAAGTCGAACAAGATAAAATATTTGCTATGTTGGCCGGCCTTGCTCTTGAGTATGAGACCTTTAGAAGTCAAATCTTCGTGACTTCTTAATTTCCAACAAGATAAAATATTTGCTAAGTTGGCTGGCCTTGCTCCTGAGTATGAGGCCATTAGAAGTCAAAATCTTAATGGCTTCTAAATTTCCTTCCTATACTTTTGTATGCACCACTATTCAGAACGAAGAAAATAGAGCGTTATGTGGTTCGGTCTATGAGACCTACATTCAGGGTTGAAGGGTTATTCAGTCGTACTCAATATTTCATTCATCTTCTATTAAATAAAAGATACAAAATAACAACTAAAAAGAAATGGATTCCCCAAATATCTCTTAAATATATCACCAAGATATTTTTCACATCTAGTTACCCAAAATATGGAATTTGGGTAATTATAAAATCCGATTTGGATAACTATAAAATCCATGTATCATATTTGAGTAGCTATCTGTATACGAATATATTTCAACAATGAATAATAAATTTAAATTTAGAAGAAAGGACAAGAAGAGAAAGAAGAAAAAAACACAGCTTTACATGGTTCGGCCTATTAGACCTACATCCACTGTTGAAGGGATATTTAGTCGTGCCTAATATTTCATTCATCCAATATTAAATAGAAGATACAAGATAACAATTAAAAAAAAACCTGATTATCCAAATATCTCTGAAATATATCACCAAGATATTATTCACATCTAGTAACTCAAAATATGGGTAACTATCAAATCCGATTTGGGTAACTATAAAATATGTGTATCATATTTGAGTAGCTATCTGTACATGGATATATTTCAAAACTCCCCCTCAAGTTGGTGCGACGATATCTTATAAGCCCAAGTTGCTTGATGTTTCTTGAAACTATACTTTACTTGTAGCCTTTGTAAGGATATCATCAAGTTGATTTGTGCTTCTGACAATTGGAGTAGTAATTTCCTTGGCTTTAACTTTTTTTCTCACAAAATGACAATTGGTTTCTATATGCTTAGTCCGTTCATAAAATACAGGATTTGATGTAACTTGTACAGCAGCTTGGTTGTCGCAGTTCATAACCATTTGATACACAATATTGAAATCCATATCTCTTAGACAAAATTTTAGCCAATTCGCAAGTTGTAGTTATCATGGCTTTGTATTCGGCCTCTGCACTAGATCAAGCAACGACCAACTGTTTTTTATTTTTCCAAGTTACAAGGTTACCCCTTATAAATGTACAATATCTTGTGGTGGATCTTCTATCTATAAACTATCAGCCCAATCAACATCAGAAAAGGCAATAATATTAGTATGACCATTTTTTTTCATTAAAATTCATTTTCCAAGAGATGACTTAAAGTACTTTAAAATTCGATTGACAACTTCAAGATGAGTAGTTTTTGGAGAGTGCATGAATTGACTTACCATATTGACCGCATAAATAATATTAGATCTACTGACAGTGAGATATATATAAGTCAACCAACCAAACGTTAAAACATCACAATAACTTCCAACGCTTTGCCTGAGTCTACGTTCGCTTTATAATTTGTCTCAATTGGAGTATCAATAGGTTTGCAACCTATTTTTTCAGTTTCACGCAAAAGGTCTAAAATATATGGGCAAGCTTTCTATGCTTCCCTTACAACATAGAAGTTCAATCCTCCCCCTTATCCAACCATCCATTTTGAATGGAGGGCAAAGATTGCCCCAATCACAATGTCACATCTCTACACTATTTTATTTTTAATTTTTTTCTATAAACTAATTTGACACTAAATTTTGGACGTCCATTTCTTTAAACTCGCACTAGTAAAAAATATAAAAAAAAATATTTCCAATAAAATAAAATAACAAAAATACCCCTGAAAGATTTAAGGGGTATTTTATTCATTATATTTTATCAAAAAAATATTTTTAATCTTTTTTATAGGTGCACCCCAATGAGAAGATGGCACGTACTAAATTTCATATCCATTCAATTTGTATAAAAAAAAACTAAAAATAAAGTACTTTGAGACGTCGGATCTAAGATCAAACGGTGAGTGGCTCTCTTGATCAAAATTGGACGGCTGGATGGTATGGGGAGGATAGAACTTCTATGTTGTAGGGGAAGTACAGAAACCTTTCCCAAAATATATTTCTTTTGAGAAATAAAAATTCCTCTGTGAGAGTATGCAACCTTAATTCTAAAAAAATATTTGAGTTTTCCGAAATCTTTAATATCAAACTTTGTATGAAGGTAATCTTTCAATTTTGTTATGGCATTTGAATTACTTTCTATTATAACAATGTCATCAACATAGATAAGGACAATAACATTCTCAGATTGTCGTCCTTTTACAAACATGGATGAATAAGCATTACTCTGAGAAAACCCTATATCAACATGTCAGAGTTTTGTTGCCTTTTTTAGGATGACATGGAGGAAGTTTCTTATAAATTTTTTCTCGTAAATCTCTGTACAAGAAGGGTTTTTTAACATTTAGTTAATATAAAGGCCAATCATTGTTGGCAACAATAGAACCCTCACAGATCTCATGTTGACCACAGGAGTAAAGGTTTCTTTGTAATCAATACCATACGTTTGGGTGAATCCCTTTACAACAAGTCTCGTCTTATATCTCTCAATAGTTTCATCACTTTTGTATTTCGTTTTATAGTCCCACTTACATCTATCTGATTTTTTCTCTTTAGGAAGAGTAACAGCATCCCAAGTATGATTCTCTTTAAAGCAATAAGTTCATCTTTCAGAGCAGTCCTCCATACTGCATTTGAATTAGCTTCTTTGAAGCTAGTGGGTTCTTTAATTGATGAAATTTTAGTCAAAAAAGCTCTATATTTAGGAGATAATTTCTTAAAATCCATCTATTTTTCAATGGCATAACGAATTTTATAATTGATTTTCTTGACATGATCTATATGGTATTTCCTTTAATACAGGACGAGGTTGACTGATATGACCAAATTGTCTTGGCTAAAAGTCTTGAAGAATTATTTGTCATTGATATTCATTTGAATAAAACCTCCTCATTGTTGAAGTATACCTGTACACGGATATATTTCAACATAAGGCTTTTTCCATTTCTAAAGTTAGATAAGACGGCAAAAGGCACTTAATATAATAAATAGCGCAAAAAGTGACACCCACATATTATAATAGCACCATGGAAACCGGTCTAAATCCAATTGCGAGAAAAAATATGATTAAAAAAATAAAAGAAATAGATAGGATCGTATTACAAAAGAAAATAAGATGACTTCGGGAAAACAAAATGATAAATCAATATATAAAGAATAATTGTTTCAAGCGGGCTGTCCCAAATTTTTAGAGGCACCTTAAAGATGGATGCAAATAGATGGTCCATCTAAAAACAATTGTAACTAATGGTTCAAATATTTTTTAATATAATTATTATTTCAAGTTTTCAATATATTTATTTTTTCATATTCATGATCTCATGTTAAAGATTATATATTCTCTAAAAATTAAGATCAAATTATGTTTAAAAAATATATTTATCGCCAAGCCCGATTTCTACGGTACGTGGGCTGGCCGCATGCTAACCGCGTCGAGAGATGTTATGAAACAAAGAGAACTTATAAAGGACGAGTTTTTAAAGAAGAAAATATGAAGGATCCAACGATATACAAACCTGAAGAAATTAGGAGCATAAAACAACAACAAAAAACCCCAAAAATCTAACGGGTCTACTAGAGCATATGATCGTATCATTCATCCTTAACTTTTGGTTTAGTCAAATGATATAGGGAATACCAGAGAAATTCAACTACTATAACAGAGTTTACCCGTGAGGAAAGTAAGGATGAAGTTTTTATGAGATTTAGGTTTTAAAATCAATTTTCAACACCGACAATAAAATTTGAAATTCAAAAAATTACAGATCTTGTGGATCTATAAACACTTATTTTTAAAGGGAAATTGCTGGTCTAGATAATCTGTTACAATATACACTATTTTTCTCATTGAAATCCTTTTTATATTCCACTACCATAATGTTCAAGCTAATATGATTGATGTTAAAGTTCTTCAAAAATTAAAGGGAAAGTATATGATGATACCATTTACCTTTGATAAGTAGGTATGAAATTTTTATAAAGCCTGCGCCACCTTATGAAAACAGAATAAAGCTTTACCTCAAATCCTCGTCCAAAAAGCACTTTAATCGATAGAAATCTCCGTGATGGCTCTAAAATAAATATCCAACACCGACAATAAAATTTAAAACTAAAAATATGTACAGATCTTGTGGATATGTGAACACTTATTTGTAGGTTTAGATAATTCGTTACGATACACACTCTTTTGAGAACTTCAAATCCTTTTTTTTTTTAATAACCATGATACTCAAGCCGAGATGATTGATGCAAAAAATTTTCCGGTTCTTGAATTGCAATTTTCAAAGAGTTACGAAGGGAGGCTTTATTTATTTTGGTTGGGCTGCAGCCCTATCAAACCATTTTCTAATTAATTATTATAGAGAGATATATTCAGTAGGATCGTAGCATCCATCTAGAATTACACTCGTCTCCCAGCACATGTAAATCACACTAGTATCAAATAAATAACAATATTTTTCATAAAGTCATTGCTTCAAGCCATCCTTGAGAGGCTCACATTTTTGTGGGATAAAAATGGAACAATAACCCCACTTTGACAATGGAGGGCCACCCACCCACACTTTTTTTTCAATGGAGGGCAACAAATCAACTCACAATGCCAGGATAACAACAACAAACTGGGGAATAAAAACTGACCCCTCGCACACTTCGCTTTCAAAAACCAAAGAAAGAAAAAATAACAAATGTGTGAGCATTTAGACATGAATCAAACTTGCAGTGGTACAAAAGCAAGCGAGCACTCCTTATCCTGGGCTTTGCCTCATCAGAACACCAGACCTGCTCCTGCTCGGCCACTTTCGTTCGCGTCGCATGAATGAAAATAGCGAATTTTTCTCTAAGTTCTCACTCCTATAGCTGGTGCAGCCTCCCCATGTGCTCTAACAAAGACGCAGCCTTCCTCTTGGCCCTTTCTGTTCCGGACTTCACCAGCTCTGTCAGGGGAATATAAGCACCAAGCCTTTTAACACAAGCCAAATTCTCCCCATCTTTTTTGCACAAAGTAAGGAGAATAGCAACTGCATTCTCTTTATTTCGAGGCAACCCTGTTCTTGTTAGGTCGACCAAAACTGGTATAGCATTTGCTTTTGCTATCGCCACCTTCCCTTCAGGATGGCTAGCGATAACAGCCAATATGGTGAGAGCCTCATCCACCATTCCATTGCCAGTATCAGTGAGCATCGTCATCAATGGGTTCAATATACCAGCCCGAACAGCCCGAGCCTTATTTCCTTGATATATGCATAAGTTAAACAAAGCAGTCGCAGCATCTTTCTTACCCCTAGGGCTACCTGAACACAGCAACCCAACCAATGCAGGGATGGCACCTGCAGCACCAATAGTTATTTTGTTCTCATCTACGAGAGATAGGCTAAAGAGAGCAGCAGCCGCATTTTCTCTCGCTTCCATGCTCCCCACTCTAATCACTTCAACAATATGTGGAATGGCCCCAGCTAAGACTATGATGCTTTTATTATTATCAAAAATAGAGAGATTTAAAAGAGCAGTAACAACATGTTCTTGGGTTCGAGGATCACTGGTCGATAAAAGACGGACAAGGATTGGAATGGCACCAGCTTCTCCAATGCATATTCGATTATCAGTGCTCCTCTTTGCCAAAAGACGAATTTCTCCCGCTGCAGACCTTTGGTCATCGAGAACCCCACTTGAGAGCTTTGTGACTAAGGAATCGATTAGTGCTCGGTTGCCTCCAACTTCTTGGAGTGTGCCATCGCTACTTTTTCTAAGCCTGGTGCTGCCTGATCTCTTTGGTTGCTCAACCCCGTGGGCATCGCACCATTGAGTGATCAAGCTTCTAAGCACATAGTTTGGGGTTAGCGTGAGGTGTGGTAATGTTTGTTGGGTCTTTGGGCAGGTCTTGTGCCCACCATCTATCCATCTTTGGATACAAGAGCGCTCATAAGTCTGAAAAAAACAAAAAAAGAAACCATTATTTTCATAATTAGTATCAAATTAATAAGCGGGAATCATAGACAGACTTCAAATCTAAGAATTGAATAGTTTACCACTAAATTCTCATTAACATGTACAAATCATAGATTGGAATTCAAATTTGGAAACAATCAGAAAAGCAAAAGTATGAATCACAACAAAGAGAAATTTATGTAAGAAACCAAACATCATATAAAGAACGAAAGGACATGATCGCACCTGCCCAGTGGCAACAATAACAGGATCCCTCATTAATTCAAGCGATATGGGGCAACGGAAGTCATCAGGAATGATGAGAGAATCGGGGGTCTTGTCATCCTTAAAACTATTGTTCCTATTAGATAGCCGCCTCTTGTTCACACCGGCTCCTTCTATATTAGAAATACAAGACAAGATGCAATCTTTGAGTTTTCCCAATACATTTTTCATTTGCTCTAAGCTTTGGCTAGGAACATGTATGGGGCTATCATGCAACGCTTGCAACTCTTGGTTCACATCATCAATAATCACAATTTCTAACTTCTCCATAACCCTCCTAAGCAAGCTATTATCAAGGTCTTTAACATGAGCTTGGTGTGATAAAATGGTAGTGACATCTGAGAGAAGTTCCAAATCCATGGACCCATTTCGTTCTTTTGATCGTTTCAGCTGCGCATGGACAAGCTCAACCTGGTTTTGAAAACAAGTCAGATGGAAATAAACTTAGTAAAGTATTCATTGGTTATATTTCCTTTTTAATATGTATAGATTTGTAAAGTTTATGAGGCCAACTAATCACATGCAAAGATCACGTCTAACCTGTTCTCGAATCTCATCCAATATCTCAAAGATTCATAAAAATTTATGAGGCCAACTAATCACATGCAAAGATCATGTCTAACCTGTTCTCGAATCTCATCCGATATCTCAAAGGATTCGTAAGGGAAGGATCCAAGAGTCTTTTCCAATTGCAACGATACATCTTGAAACTGGCTGGCGATCCACTTACCCTCAAAAACCTAACAAAGAACCAGAAGAGTGTGATTAGATGCAGGAGATCAAAAACATCTATAAATTGCTAATATATAAAAGATGAGAAACTAGAGATGCCAAGTATATTGACAATTCACCTTCCCATCTATCTATCTTTCTGACTGCACATATATACAATATAAAAAACTAGCAAGTCGGGAGTCAAAAAACAGACAAGAGAAACCGCATTAAAGCCTAAATGAACAATGGAACAACCAAGAGAAACCTCTAATTGAATCTCAATTCAAGCCTAATTTACTATCAAGACAACATTTTGGCCCAAGCCTAATTTACTATCAACAGAAAATTTCAACTAAATGTCATACACAGTGGTTTGTCGGCAAAAATACTCTCTCCCTCCGTGTTCCAAAATTATTTATCTTTGGTTCTTGCTTTCTTGATAAAAAAAAGCAAGCTTCCTTTGAATCAAACAAGATCCATATATATATAGCTTAAATGAATCACACAATCTTAATCTTTTTTCGCAAAGCCAGAAAATGTTTCATGAATTTCTCTCACTAAAATAGGGTACCATTCTTATTAATAAGAAATTTTTTGGTCCTTTCATCTAATGCGAGCAGTCATGTAAGTTCACTATAGTCGAATTAGATCGACAAAGTTTCAAAAACTCAATGCAGGTTTCCAGGCCTGTCACCTCCGACTAGTTGGTTGCCTACATCTCTGATTAGAAAAAGGTTGCAATTTCATGGAAAATTGCATTTACCCAGTTTTTACTATCACAGGAAAAGGCTGCATTTTTTTCAGCAAAATAGCTACAATCTTAGAGTTAGCCACCTGCATAAATCAAGAAGCCAACGCCACAATCCTAAAAAGAAAATTTTGCAGACGGTATGGATTTTCCTATTTTTGAAGATTGGCGTAGATTTACATAGGTCAAAACCTCAAACCCATTTCCTCCGAGTGGAAAATATGAGTTATCAGAAAAACCATCTGTATTCCATCGTTTTCTATATACCCATTAAGAGATCTCCAACTAAATCCAGAAACAGTGAAAGAATGAGCAAAGTTTTATTTTATTTTTTTGAGAAATTAAGAGAATGAGCAAAGTTAGCAGGAGAATATGGGAAAAGTTGAGAAAGACCAAACTCCCAACATTTACAGAATGAAAGAAGGATAATCCACTCTGAGATTAAACCAAAAATGAAAAAAAAGCAGAACAGAGAACCCAAAAACAAGAAATTTCTAAAACGAAAATAAAAGAAAATATGAAAGGAAAGAACTTACCAGAAACACCTGGCTAGCACAATGCCCTATCTGAAGAAGCCCCTTTGAAGCCCGAAGCACTTTAACAAGGCCATCAAGGCATAAACGACACTTATCTGAAACAGGGGCTTTAAAATCTCTGATCTCTTCAAACAATGGCGACAAGAGGGTGACTCTTCTTGTGAGATTCACACATTCTTTCCTCACAAGGTTCCTGTACTCCCCAATCTTAGATATCTCTTCTACAATATCCAAGAGAGACCTCGCAAGAAAATGGGGATCTCCAGCCATTATGACCAGACCCCAAAACCAGTCCCTCTCTCTCTAAAACGGGGAGAGGTCGCCCCTGTCTCTCTAAAATGAGAGGGGAAGAAAATGGGAGAAGAGGAAATGAAGAAACCCAGTCAGTAGAGAGACAAGCTCAAAGGCATACAGTTGGGAAGAGAATATAATGAATTGGAGCCAGCAGGATGTGCCAACCATGTGAGGGTGAAAAAACACACAAGAAAATAAAGAGCAAAAAAATATATATAGAAAGGAGAGAGAAATAGAAACACCACCAAGGCAATACAAAGAGAGAGAGAGAGAGAGAGAGAGAGAGTAGTAAATTTAAATTTTTTAAAAATAATAGATCGAGTAGGTAGAGAAGAAGAGGAG